CCGAGCCCTCAGACGGGAGCGCCGCCGTGCTTCCCAAGCGGCGCACTATCCAGTGCGCCACCGGGACGGCCCCCAAATAACTTTTTTGAATATGGATTATACCTATCAATATGTACTGAATTAAAACTGAGAAAGTTTAAAAATATTAATCACTTTATAAAAACAACAAACCAATTTTGTGTTAACAGGAATTACATTTTCACAAAAAATAGCTATATTTTCTAAAGGAATTAGTGAGAACAATGGCACTGTGTAACATTTTTTCAAAATTTTTCCTTTAACATTGGTTGGAAAGACAGACTCTCGTATAAGCTTCTGCATTCAATCTGATTCATTATCACATGATAAGAGGTCTCTAGAACACTCCACTGTATACTTGTGAGAAAATGAGAGGAAAGGGCAAATAATATCTTATTATTATTATGAGAACAATAGAAATAATAGGTTTAGACCCCACATATCTTCCTGAAGAGTCTTAGGAACTCCCCAGGGTTCCCTGGAGCACACTTTAAGAACCGCTGCTCTATGGCACCATTGACAATTGTTGTTCTCTCCACCATTATAAACTTACAGGTCTCCATGCCTTCATCATCGTCGTCCACCACAGGTTTATCATAAGACTTGTCGATGGCAGCTCTGAAGCTCTCGTTACATCCCCTGCCTCTGATTATCCGCGGCCGTGGGCGATGGAAAGGAATGTCCCCATTTAAAGTCACTTCAGCTACTGCTGTCTGCAGACTCTCTAACGAGCTAGACTTCTTCAGACCCAGGGAAGGTCCCACATCTCTGCTGGGGGAACCTTGGAGATTTACAAAAACAACAGGTTTGTTAGAATTAGTGGTGAAAATTACATACTTGAATACCTATGCATTGTGGAAAACTTCAAGGACAGAAACAAATTATTTGCTCAATGATGAGTTCTGGAATGTGGATGGAAAACATATAAAGAACAAATGAAGTAATAAAAACAAATGAAGTTACTCTAATTTTTATTTTTCCAAAATTTATATTAGGTTTTGTCTATTTTCCCTATTTTTATGAGGAAAGTCTCTAAGTTGTTAGTTTTCCATTTTTATCTCAACTGATGAAATTTTTGTCTGATTATTTTGCTATAAGTAATGTAAATAATCTAAAAGAACCAGAATAACTCAGAAGATTATTTGAAAAGTACTGATGATGAGAAAGCTAAGGTGAGAAACCAAAAGCAAGCTTTTTGACTTAAACCATTTTTTGGCAATTTAAAATCATTCGCAATAGTAGACATTCATATCAATGAATTTCACCAAGTCTCTTCGTCATTATACTGCAGATTTACAACCCTCCACAAGTAAAAAGAGCACAAAGGGCTACATGTCACCAGTGCAATCAGGGGCAGCCTGGCACCAGGCACAAACCTAATCCTGGGAAACACGAATGTTCTATGGAAAGGGCGATACAAGATAGGAAGAGAAACAAATTACATGGGGGCTCTCTCTCAGAGAGAGGGAAAGGTGGAGAAAGTAAAGAGCTCGATATGAGTACCTGTATCAGCAGGCCTGGGATAACACCTGTCTGAAAAACAGGTGATGGAGAGAAGGAAGAAGACTCAGCAATTACCAAGAAAATTTCAGTGGGATGGCAGGCGAGAATTCAGGGAATTAAAAATTTGGCTCTATTTCTTGAGGATCTAGGGCAGAAAGGCCTGAGATAATACCAGTAATGCTAAGCTTCAGGAGGCAATCAAAACTGATTTCTTTAACCAGGTAAGACAGCTCACCCATCACTGCCTGACCTGGCACTCAAAGGTAGACTAATTTAGCCTCCACATGACTGAAATACCAGCTTTGCACCACCACCTGAGCAATCCAGGTTACAGAACTCGTTCTTCCCTTACACTGCTAAAAAGACAGATGAAAAGATGGGAGGTAGGGGAACTAAATAGTTTATCTCTACATGGGGTCATCAGCCCATATGTTAATCAATAATTAAGGAGTAGCCTTGTCATGTTATTACCAAGAAGACAAATAGTTGAGACATGGGCTTTCCATAGCTCGCAGTATAAAACAGAGTGAAAAGCAAATTGAGAGAGTTCAAACAAGAATTATCGTTTTAAGATTCATTTACGTTACATCCTTCACCTAATTTTCACAATGGGGTAGCAGTTTTAAGTAAGAATAGATACGGTGAAAATGTAATATATGAAGAAAGACAGACATGTGATTCGAATGAAGAAATAATATTCTGTAAATTACTGTGCTTGGGAGAAGAAGATAAAATATTTAACTTTCTCACTGAAGGTTTGTATACATTTCATTATTTATTTTATTATAAAAGTTCACGAGATACTTCTTTTAGGGAGAGCAATCTTCTTTTCATAGCACTACAATTTTTGACAAATTCATTTTCTAAATTACTCATAAAAGTCATGTCATAAGAAGGAAAATGAATTTTGTTTCAGAGCTGGCTGGTGAGCTCAGTTGGTTAGAGCACGGTGCTGATAACACCAAAATCCGGCATTCAATCCCTGTAGCAATCAGCCACCAAAAAAAAAAAAGAAAGAAAGAAAATAAATTTTGTTCCAAAGAACTAAACAAAAAGTACAAAATCCAGGAATCAAAAAGAATAGGAAAAGATTATTCCTGGGCAGGGATAGTACTTTTATACTTCTTAGAATTAGCATTGAGATGATCTTTTTCTGAATAAATTATACCTATCAATTTTCATAATTTACCAACTGCATTTGGGTTTTATAAACATGTATTAAGCAAATATTTGGTGCTTTCTTGGGTTCATCAAGGATATGAGTATATATACATATATATGAATATGCATGTGTGTAAATATCTCCAGTAAAGATTTCATGCTTCCAGTAATGATTACCATAAAAACAGTATTTATAAAGAAGCTTTTCTTTATGCAAAGTTAGCTGAGATTTTACTTGATGTACTCAGAGCCATGAAAACTCTAATAATGAATTTCAGGAATAACATGAGTATTTACTAAAATTGAGTGTCCCTCAGCATAAACACAGGCAAATCTTTCCACAGAAACAGTAGAGTATACTAAACTAGGCAACAAAACCTATGCAAGTGTAATTCACAGCTTACCTATCTAGTCTATTCTCTAATTTCATAATACTGTGATATATGATAATTGTTGATGGAGGGTACTGGGTTTATGGACAGTCAATAAGGGCTCTTTTTATATTTATGTATGGTTGAAAATTTTCATAATAAAAAATTATAAAGAAAGTCAACATCTATAACTTGTGAATCTATACCAGGGATCAGCAAACCATGGGCCAAATCTGGAAAATTTTTTTTTTCCTTTTTGTCTTTTTTCGTGACCGGCAACGGATCGCAACCCTCAGTGTCGTGCCCATACCGGACCGGGACCGGCAACGGCATCGCAACCCTCGGTGTTGCACCCGCACCTCGCTCAGCCAGTGAGCGGCCGGTCTGTATGTGGGATCCGAACCCTCGGTGGCGCACTGCAGTGCGCCACCGGGCCGGCCCCAAATCTGGAAAATTTTACTGTGACACAGCCATGCCCATTTACACATGTTGTCTTTGGCTGCTTTCATTCCACAACAGCAGAGTTAATGGCTGCAACAGAGACCAGATGGCCTGCAAAGCCTAAAATATTTACTATCTGGTCCTTTTACAAGCAGAGCTTGCTGACTCTTAATCTATAATATGAACATCATACACTGATATACTATATTTGTCAAAGAAACTACAACAAAAGTTTTAAGTGATATATTAAGATTCCCGGTTAAGGCTACTGAGATCCCTAATTATAAACTTAGCATTTACTAGTAATAAAAAACTAAAAAGTCTTTCTCTATATAAGGCATAGGCAAAAGATTATTTAGTTTTATTTATACAAAAACAAAACAAAACCAATATCTCTTAATTTTAAAACAGTATTTTAAAGCTCTTTATATAAAAATCTTGTAGGTCATTAGACTACTTATTTTTTTATATTTCAATTCTCTTATTACTGTTCTCTCTTGTTCTTTCAGAAAATAAATTTAACCTCAAAATATGATATAAGATCTCTTAATCTCAGAATAAAGGGGAAAATCATAATCATACTATTTTCCCTAGATCTGTTTTTGTACTCCTACTTACTAGTACTCCTTTTGCCAAAAAAGAAAAAAATAGTAGATGTCTTTTGCATGGGGCAAAGGGAAATAGAATTCAATTTTCATTATGAAAGGCTTATAGCTAGACAGACGATGCCACTATGACTCTACCCAAATCCTTTGGACTAAACTATAAAATCATGGTAATCTTGAAAATTCAAGTGAAATGAAGAAAGAAAAATAACTGAAAATCTGTTCACTGTCAAATACTGGGGAGTGGGGAGGATTTAGTTTAGATATTTTATTCATGTAGATTTAAAACCAATAGGCCAAGAAATACTTTGACATCTATGTAATAATTTTTTGTCCCAAGATTTTTCAATTTAATTGGGTAGGATTGTGAATAGTGTGTGTGTGTGGGGGGGGGGGTTGTTTAAAAAAA